CAGTTACTGAGGCTTTTGTGCTTAGAAAGATCTTGTTGAAGGTAAAAGAGTGGAGAAGATTCTACTATGACATTATATTCCTGGCTATTCGCAGGCTGAGGTTTGGATTTGTTTAAGTTTGAGATGGAAACCAAATTACTGATTAATTTTTTACCATCACATTGATCAATAATTATTCAAAGAACTTGATCATGTAGGGTAGAGACAAACATTTTTACTATCAATCCAGGGACAGGAATGTGACCCAAATATGACATTTCAAAGGCAATTGCAAATATTTGATTATTTTTATAATATATTGACTTTGACTTGTTAGGGAAAATTCAGGCGCAGGTATATAAATTTATGCGTATGATTATGGCTAAAGTCTAATCACCTGTTTAATGATTGGGATGACTTTAATGAAATTGGTTTTGCTTTATGTTTACCCTTTCCAATTGTGAATTAAAGACATTAAAAAGCAATAAATCGCCAGGATTGTTAATGGATTAATTCTTGGATGATCTGATGTTTTTTTTGTTCATGTAGGAAAAACCATGCCTAGGGTGTTGTCATTACTAAACTGACTTTTAAGCAAGACTCGATGTACGATAGATTAGGTCTGTGCATTTATATTTTAGGGTTAATTACAATGACACCCCCTGAGGTTTGTCATATTGACAGTCATATATAAGTTAGGCATTTTTTGAACAATAACACCCCCTGTCACAAATTGAATCCAAACAGCCCCTTAAAAGATGTGAAAAGTCAAGATTAGCCTTCATAATTTTATTAATTTAAATGGTTAAATATTAGAAATCCTAAATGACATTTTTATACTATCAATTACAATCAGAGGGAGAAAATAAAGAGAGAGAGTTGGGTTATATATATATATATATATATATATATATATATATATATATATATATATATATATATATATATTCGGTGCCAGAACAATCCACTCGCGGGTAAAGAGCTTTCACCAAGAAAAGGAACTGGGATAACAGATCAAGCATCAAGACAAACCTCAACCACCACCACCACCACCACAGCCACCGATCCTCACCGCCGCGATCCACCACAAAAGAAAAAGCAGAGGCAACGAATAACAACCATGGCCTCTCAAACCCTAACCCTAATCAAGCAACCACCAAACCCGCGGCCTCTCCCTCAAACCCACCACCAAATCCATAAACCTCTCTGCCCCTAAATCCCTTACCATCGTTGCCGCCATCACCACCAAGAAAGCCGTCACCGTTGAACCCTCGGATCTAGCCGCGGCATCGACGTTGGGCACATCCCTATGATGACTGTGTGCTTCTTTAGATCCTTCTCGAGCTTGGGAGCAAAGGATGTGGTGAAGTCAGCGCCACCGCTGCCGCCGCCGTGGCCACTGTTTCGATCTTGGAGGTGTATAAATATGTGTGTGTGTGTGTGTGTGTGTGTGTATGTATGTTGAAGATTTGGGTGTTTATATATATATATATAAACACCCAAATCTTCAACATAAATACATATATATGTGTGTGTGTTGAAGATTCAGGTTTTGAACTAATGGTGGTGATTTGGGTGTAAGGGCTTCACGGTGGTGGAGTCGGCGCCGGCGGCAGTGGCTACCATTATATGTATGTATGTTGAAGGTTTGGCATATGTGTGTTTGTGTTGAATATTCCGGTTTTGATCAATTGAAGTGGTGATTTTGGGTGAGAGAGCTTCACGGTGGTGATAGAGTAGCCACAGTATGACTGGTAATAGATGGTATTGGGATTGGATTTTTTATTTTTATAAATATTATACAAGGGTAGCAAGGTAATTTCATTATTTAAATTTGTCAATTTAAAAGTGAAATGACAACAATGTCAATTCATAGGTGGCAAGTGACCATTGGGGTGTATTTGTTAACTTTTTCAAACTTGAGGGGGTGTCATTGTTAAAAAAAGGCCTAACTTATATATGACTGTCAATACGATAAACCTCAGGGGGTGTCATTGTAATTAACCCTATATTTTAGATATATATTATTGTAACTTCATAAATTTTGCTAGCAATGATGGAAGATGAAGATAGTGTTCAGTCCTTCGGGGATTCAGGGACTTGCTGAATACTGTAACTTTGGCCTTAATAAAAATTTTGTTATAATTACAAATGGATTAAAGCCCAAGTCATGTGTATCCATAGAAGAATCTCCTGTGACGAAGGGTTTCTTGGAACTTTATAGATAATAATTTACAGGAAAAAGTTAGTTCAAGATAATTCTTGGACAACAATGAGTAATTGAGTTGCATCATTCGTTGTTGATGATTCAAAACAAGACCAAGACCAGCACTTTAGCATCCTTTGTTCTTTCTTCTTCTTCTTCTAGCTTGTTCACAGATTAATCACCCGACTATGCAACTAATCTAAAATTAGATAAAAGCGTCTGATCTGGGTAGAAACTGAAATTGGTTGTCTTTCTGTTTTCTCTTTTGAATGAGAATTGTAGGGGTTCATTTTCGTAACACAATAAAATACATATAAATGGTGATATCATACACAAATTTGAGTGATCCAGACAACATAATAGAATCCAAGGTGGATTGAGAAAGCTGGAAGCACAAACAAACTCGAGAGAAAGGGTGAAGATGGCAGTGTAACAGTACACCATTAACTCCCTTGATGAGGGTGTGGAAAATATAGAGAAAGCATAAATATCAGAGAGCATGAGAGCTCTCCGTCTTTAGGCGACAGTTTTTCTCCTTCCTCCACTTAGCCTTGGAGAACCTCCTTATATAGGCCAAATGAGATGTGACATCACATGTGGACCCATTAACATTATAAATGTTAAATAAGATAAGTTTAAATTATATGAGAGTTAAAATGATATATCTCTCTCCGAGTCAGGTCGAGCGTCCACTCAACGAGCCCTAAACTTCATCCACCAAATCAAGAACCTCTTCTGATCCCAAGTAATCCTGAGTCCTGCTCCCAACTCAGGTCTTCAAGTCTTCAACCTTCTGTGACGTGGTAAGTGTCACGTAACTAAGACCGTTTGACTTATGGGCCATCGTTTCTGATGTGGCATTGCTTGTTGACCACCGTTTAACCAATAAATATGGGCCATGTGAAGTGAGGTATATTCAACACCTACAAGAATTAAAGACTTTAAGTAGCAATAAATCGTCAGGTTTATTAATGGACCTTCAACCCCCGACCTAAGAATTGACCACACAAGCCAGTGCCCAAGCCAAATAGGCACGAAAGGAATGGCGCGCTATAGTTATCATTACTAAGATTAACTAAAAGGCAGACTTGGTGCACTGTAGTTACCGTTCTAGGTTCGGTCTTTGCTCTTATGTTTTACATATAAATTATTATAATTTCTAAAATTAAGCAAGCAATGATTTAACATAGATTTTCTTAGGTGATTTTACTTTCTGACACTACAGTGCAAGCATTGATGAAGGAAGAGGTCTTAGGATTTGTATTTATAGAATAGGAGTAGGGAGAAAGACCTTTCAGTAAAATATAATCATGTTTATTATGTCACTGCTGCATCCCAAAGGTTGAGCATTGCCAGATGAAAGGTGCAGCCAAATTGTCATATGCCTTGATAAGAGAAAAGACACTGTAATTCACTTTCAATAATGTATGAAACATTGCTTAGAAGTGTGGGATTTTGATTGCTATATTGTCCTTACTAATAAAGAAGAGACTAAAACAACACTGCTCACAGCGGTTCTCCTAATTTGTGATTTCCATACTTAGATTGTATCTAGCTGATGGAGAAACACTGACATAGTTAATGATGTTCTACGGCATGACATTAGATTTATTTTTAAACTTGTACCATATATCCTGAAATGATTAGATTTATTTCAAATAATGGATATATATAGAGAAAAGTATCTCATATGGATATGATATGATCACGTTTCCCTGTAAAAGCATACGTGCTTCATAGGATGTGCAACATCGCAATGAATGTGAAAATCCTTTTATTTCCTTTTTCTTTTCCTCTCTTTTTTGATTTTTGTCTCTTTGATTTCCTTTCTCTCATAGAATTTTGATGTTAATGGTAGTAGCCATTACATTTTTTTTTGTTTTTATGTCCTGGCAATTGCTTTCTGGATCGACTGTGAAAGCTAAAATTGCTATATACACTTCTTCATGTTTATGTTTACCATAAATGTTGTCTTTGGATGGTAGGTGTGACATGGGTTAAATTTATCCTCAAAATTTCGTTGTTGTGATGACACTTGTTGGCGCCAAGTTTCAGCCAGCTCAATGCACACAAAAGGTTAAACAAGTTAGAATGCATACATATCCCCTGCTATGCTTGTAGACCCCAAAAAATGTTTGTGACCAAGGAAGTGTCCTGCCTGAAACTACACACTCTGTTACTGTTGACTCCCCTAAGCTTTCATTCACACCTCTCAAGTCTCAAGTTCTCAACTTCTAATTTGTAATTTGATTGATGACACCTTTCAACAGGTGCTCAAATTAGGACAAGGGAGAGAAACGAAAAAGGAAAGAAGCTAGAAGATATCTGTAATTTGCATCATGACTTTTAAATTAGGATTATGTTTGCGGTATAGTGAGATCAGGGTATAATGAGATCAGGTTGTGTAAGTGTGTGTGTATATATATGTGTGTGTTTATAAATGAAGATCAAGTTATTTAAGTGTCAATTGATGCAGTGAACCACACAGAGGGTGGTGTAATGCCATGATTACTCAAAAACTTCCAAGTAATTCAGAATTGAGGACAGTTGCTTTGTTGTAAAGAATTGGAAACTTTATGAGATTTAATTAGGGTTTATGTGCCCAGGAAGATTACATGGAACTCATTCAGATGTTTGATCTCTATGATAGTTTGATAGTTTGAGAAAGAGAGAGTTGAGTGAGAGAAAGAGGTAAGCGGGATGATTTAGAGAGAGAAACAAAAACGAAGTTGTGGTAATACCATTCACGATGCAAATGATCAAATTTGTTTCATGATGTGTATTGCTACTTGTGTATCACCAGTCAAAATCAAACTTTAATTTAAAATTTCTACCATTCCAATTCCAATACCAACAATCTAATTAATCACTCTCATGCAGAGCATAAATGAAATCAGTTTGAACATAGATTCGCGTTCTATTTGTAGGTATATTTATTTGGTTCATATGAATTTTAAATGCCAAAGGTAACCGAGAGTACCGAATCTTCTACCGCTTATTTCCAAAACCAACCACACGCCGCCTTCATCAACGGCCCATAAATTCGCAGCAATAGTGGTGCATTCAAACCAGACGCATGTATTGCATTTCACCGGTGAATAGACAAGTATTGTTCGTTATTAATGGCTCAATTTGAAAAACATCTGGTTAAACCAGAATTGTGTTTTTATTATTGCTGGTCCCCGAAAGCTCTATCTTTTTCCAATTAGAGCATATTGTAAGCAACAAGAGAGTGCCGGTCTGGCAAGAGAGACCACAGATCAAGCCTATCCACAAGCCCTGTGTCAAAAATAAAGCAACGCATGGAGAAAATTAACAAAACATATTGTAGAAATACCTAAGTAGATACTTTTTAATGTTTGTAATGTGTAAGACCGGCGACAGTGGTTGTCTCGCAGGTGTGGAGCCTACCATAACTTTGAGACAACCAATTTTCAGTTGTTGACAGAGCTGACTCGATTAGGTGTTCTCAAAGGATGAATACTTAGTCCATTCTTCATAATGTACTCGGAGGTGAAATATATGAACGCCGGACAAACAATTAGAATATTTGTGTTACCTTAGCATATAGTTTGAACTTAAAACCGAGGAGAGCTGCAATTGGCATGCCTACGAGATAGAATGTTGCCAGATTAATGCAGACAGCCAAGTGCTGCCAACCACATCCCCTGGCCACCCCTGCAGTGTTGAGAGATCGATCACATCCATTAAAAAATGAAATCATCAAAGAAAAACTATAAAAAAAACCGTATGATTCTAACCTGACAAGACACCTTGCACAGAATCAAATATTATCGAGACTACAAGCAGGGGTGTCATCGAAGCAAATTTCCTTATTATCACGGAGCTGTCACTGAAGAAGCCAGCCCATATATCATGACCAAATCCTAGAGCCGAAACAACAAGAAGAGCAAGAAGGATAGAGAGCTTGAGAGTGACACCCATGGCATGCTTCGCTCGACTGGGGTTGCCTGCTCCTAACTCATTCGACACTCTCGTGCTGACACGGTAACTCCACCACGATAATCAGTAGCCGTAACAAAAAGGAGGAGAACAGAGGAACTTGAAAAAACAGAACATTAAAAGTTTCCCTCACAACTAACCTTGCAGCTGCGCTGAGACCATAAGTGATCATGTATGCAGTAGCTTGTGTGTTTACACTGGGTACACGAAAACCCCAAAGACTAGCGGAGTCAAGAATTAAGAACAAAAACATAGATATGTTGATTAGAAGAAAATAAGAAAGAAAGCTTACCACATTGCAATCAATGAAGTTGTAATTTCTGAGTTCGGCATCAATCCTGCTAGTAATACCAGAATCTCAAAAGCCCAGTACTCCAAGCTGCCAAATTTTTTTAGAATTGAGGCTAGCTCTAAATTGTGTGGTTTGGATAAAGCTTAAGAAGAGGACATTTGAGTGAAAAGATCACACTTACCATACCATTGCTGCAGAGGGTAGAGCCAATTTTGCAGATGCAAGAAGATGATGAAATGACTCCAACGAAAAACCTTTCCAAGTATGCTCAAATTTCTTGGCGCAAAGAACGTATATGGCCAGCATAAACACCGCGATCCACAATGATATTGAAACTGCCAATGCTGCTCCCTTGAAGCCCAGGGATGTCCGATGAACCAAAACATAGGTGATGCAGAAGTGGATGATCAACGGAAGCAATGAGCAGACAACCAGTGGCATGACAACACTTTGTGTCTGTAGAAACCTCAACAGATTATGCAAAAACCCAAACGCAAATAATGCTGGTATAAGGTACTTCATATAGAGGCCAGCCATTTCTGATATTTCGGGATCTTGACCGAGTAAGATGAGAATGGATTTTGTGTAGAGCCAGAAGATGGAAATGATCAGAGAGAAAAAGACAGATATGATGCAAGAAGCCTGTAGATATATACCCATCATCCTATATAGTTTTGCACCATATCCTTGCCCACATAATGTCTCAAGTGCACCACTTAGGCCAACCTAAAACAACAAAATTAAGTGAAAAAACAATAATCTGTCGATCAAAAGAGAATCAAATTGAAACTAATTCAAATTGTTTTCTAATTACAGTTAATTTTCTAATTTCACTTGATTTTTGTTCAAGGCCAAATCTCATTCAAATTGTTTACAGTTTACAATAGCACACATAGTCCCAACAAAAAACACACACATAGTCCAGTGTCGTTTTCTTTGTTTTCCTTTCTTCTGTAATTTTAAATAAATTTCCAGTAATGGCTCAAAAACAAAAACAAATACGCAAGTAGCCCTGTCAATAGATCAGATCTCGATTGGAATAGTCAAATATGGATTGAGTGAAAAATCCGATAACCCGATAATGATCCGAATCCGTTAACTTAACAAATCGGATATAAATTTGGGTTGAACCAATCCTTTAATAATCCGATCCGACTAAAATAATATATAATTCTAGTGTTAAGTGCAAACAAACCCTTTTACTATGGATATAGTGCGGTCCTTCTCTTATATAATAAAATAAAATAAATAAATAAATAAACCGATATTATCAATTAAATACAAATAGGTTCATGTGTGGTATAAAATGACAACTCTCACTTCAGTTCAATAAATTAATAACTATAAATATAGGTCGTGTAAAAAAAAAAAAAACACTTATCTTAATTTTTCTTAAAATATTAAGATAAGTTTTATAAATTTTCTTAAAATATTAAGATAATTTTTCTTAACTGTTCCCAGTTTTATATGGTAACCCCAGCTTCTACTTGGCAGGGTTATACCGAAATAGATAAAAGAGAGAGAGAAACGAGATGTTTGCTGGTGTTCTCATCATATTACAGAGAACCCTAAAATCTAATATATATATATATATATACACACACACACACACTTACAAGTGTAGTTTATTTACAATATAATTTTCATGTAATTTTCAGTTTCCCAATCATCATATCCTTTATTAGTTTTAGATGGAGGATCATTTTTAATGTATTTGAGTTTCCTTCAAGCCCCTAAAGATATCTTCAGAGCCTGAGCCCATAACAAATAATTGGTATTGCTCAGTTTAACGGTAGTAATTTGCCGCCCAACATGATCAGTAATTGCAGCAGCAGTTGTCTTGATTTCACTATGTTCTGCCATGGATCCAGGAATTGGGAAGAAATACAAAACAAAAGTTGAGAAGAGAAGAAACTAGAGCAGCCAAGACCAAACTGAACACTGCCCAGCCAATAAAATAAGTAGAACTAGCCTCTAACAGATTGCACAGGCTGAAAAAAAAAAAAGGTGATCTGAACTGATATGAGAAACTAAACAGATCAGAACCACACCACAATCGGGTTGAGTCTGCAGGGGTCGAATTAACCCGATCCTCCTTCACTTGGGTCGGATCCCTACAAACCAATGAAGAACTCTGCAAATCAAAAAGAAATCTGCACCGCTGCAACTTGATGATGAACACTGGTTGACAACGAACACAACCAACACTGGTTGTGTAAATAAAGAAAGTGATGATGTGAAAGTAACTCACTCTCTCGGTGATGATGAAGCCAACACACAGGCACAACAATGGAACCCTCTTCACGAGAACGGTGACGAACAATTTAGAGTTGGGAACGTTTCAGATTTCATGTCCAATTTAATGCATTTATGGGTAAGGGGCAAAATGGGAATCTAAAAGGGTAAAGTAGGGTTTTCATTTTTATTTTTTCTAAAAAAGTGGTAAGAGGAACTTATTTACACCTTTTTTGAATTTTATGGACTAATAATATGCGCATTTTTAAAAAGTATGGACTAGTTACACACAAACTTTATAGAGGATTTTTTGCACTTAATATATTTATATTTTATATTATACATATTTTATATATATATATATATATATATATATATATATATATATATATTTCAAATATTAGATTTGTGTAAATATAAATTATGTAATAAAAAATTCTAATTAAAATGTTATATTTACAATACTACTACATATCCTCATCAACATAAGATTACTCCCCTAATATCAATCCATTGAAGACACGAGAACTCCATAAGCGGTTCTGTAAGCCTACATCGTGCTTCCAGTTCCAGATAAAAACGAAGGTGAAAAAGAGTCATCTATTGACGTATGATGGGGAAGGAGGAAGTTCTGATTCTTTTCTTCTCCCTCTATTACAAGCACAATGGGGAATGGGAAACGAATGTGTAAGTCTATTTTTTCTTTTATTTTCTCTATTAAAAATCCTAATTTTTTATTTTTCAAAAGTAAAAGTTGTTTCAGAATTTTCTTATTTTCTCCTTCCATCTTATCTCTCTCTTTTTCTATTTATGGAGATTCGGATTCTTTGTTACAGAACCCATTTCAATCTATCTTTTCTATCCGAAATTTGATCCCCTTTGTTTCAATGTTTCACCTTTATATGGAAGATATGAACCATATTTTCAGTAGCAAAAATCATTTATTCTAGATTTGGTATCTAATTTCTTTGAATATTGAATCAATTTGCGTGATTTGTGTTTGTATAAATGCAAAGGTAAAGTTTCTAAACGGATCGGATTTATCGGATCGGACATCTGATAAAATGAGTATCAGACATAGATCGGCTAAAGAAGAATTCTTCGGATTATCAGATCGGACCTGATCACTCAGTTTGCTTATCAAATTCAAATCGGATCAACCATAATTCGGTTCAAATCCGATCCGTTGACAGGTCTATAAGCAAGCATAAATTGCCATAGAGTCCATAGACTAACAAGAAGATGCCCAACATACTTGTTTATTAAATTAAAATGAAATAATTCATACCATTTTGGTGACGTATTCTCCATCAAATTTATATAAATTTATTATTAGTGCTTGAAATTTTTTGTCTTTTGTTTTTTAAAAAAAAAAATCTCAATTAACAAATGTTAAATCAATTTAAGTTTTTTCTTAATTTTTCAAAAATATTCCAAAAGAAAAGAATGGTAGTTTACAAAATATTTCTTTTTACCGTAAATATACATAAACAGAGAGTATAATAAATTTTATTATAAATAATAAGTTAATCATTTTAGAATACTAATTATGTTTATTTTTTTCCATTGTTATGATAAATTACCAATTACTATGTATAAAATTAAGGTATAAATTGTACTCCATATAACTAATTTTTAAATAAAAGAGAGATCCCATCAATTAAATAATACTTAGCATCTCACCAGTGAATAACTTCACTCTATTCACCTCTAGTGTGTTTCAATAATAATAGCATTATCTTTAATTTAAAACATTTATAAATGGTACTGTAACGTCGTTACTGAAACTAGTTAATCAAAAAGAAAAAGCGAGGATTGAGAGTGACAGATCATTATATATTTAACGTATAGCAGACAGTAATTAAAAAGAAAAAGCAAGGATTGAGAGTGACACATCATTATATATTTAACGTACGTGTAGCAGACAGTGGTAGTTTGTGGTGATGAATATCCCATGTGATTTGTATAATTTCTCGTGGACCCATTATCAACTGAATCGGAATTTGTGACTCTTTTCTTTAGCAATAATAATGATGAATCAATGATAATGTTATTATAATTTTACAATAGAGAGACAGAGAGAAAATTACCATGAAAGAGAGGCCGGTGACGGTGGTCCATGAGTTGGCGAGGTTGGCGGCGGCGAGCTGCAGGTCTCCGAGGTGGCCGGCGAACATGACGGACACCAAAGGGATGAAGTAGTAGCATACGTTGGTGAGGATCATGGGCAGCGAAAACAACATCTGATTCTTTGCCTCCTCCCCGTCCACCACCTTCTTCCACCAGTACACCCTCTCCTCTCCTCCACCGCCGACGGACTCATCATCTAGCAACGGACGTCTACTAGCACCATCTGAACTAGTAGTACTAGACATATCTCTATCTCTATTTACTTACTGTGACTCCTATTTTGTTATAGTTGATCAATTCTCAACGTCAACGTACAGAGAGATTAGAGACTAAGGAATTGATCGATTCCAAAAATAAAAAAAATAAAGACCAAGGACAAAGAGAATAAGATGATAGCAGAGGAAGGGAAGGGAAGGAAATGGAAGACATATTTGTGAGGAGAAAGGAAATATTAATGTTATGAACACGAGCTTGGTGTAAAATCACCATCAGTGAGTGATATTGGATAGTCTTGTCTTTTCGACCATTTGATATATAGAATATAGTAGTATTTGATCTTGACGGTGCAGTCTAAAAATTTGAATCGGTCCACCAACATAAAAGGCGGCCGTTACTCTCTGGTACTCTGTCTTAATTCTCAAATACATATAGGGTGAGATCACGTTAGAGAATATATAAACTAATACAAAAATTAAGTGCAAATCAGATAATTCACGTGCCGTTTTCAGATGAATTTCAACTTGCACGACAAGGAATATTATAATAAAGAAGACTGATTTTGATTTGTCTCTTTTAATTACCGTATGTAGCAAGGTACATTGTATTTTCCACCTTTTTCAGGGTATGTCCAAATCATTTAAATTCAACTCAACAAATTTCTCTTACCTTAATACTTTCGGCTTAAATCCTATGAAAAATATATATATATATATGTCAAACTTTTTCCAAGGATTTCTTTAAAGTAACCATCACATCTTTAGAATAACCATCACTTTTTTTTTACGATTTTTTGACCATTAGTCGAAATTCAAAAGTCAGTTAAAAAATTAAAATCAAGTTTAAATTAAACAAGTTTTATGTTTCCTTCGAATGAAAGGTCCTTGCATGTCAAGACATGTTACACTATTACCATTTGAATACAATTAAATCAAATTCAAATTTATTTATTTCATAACGTGTTAAGTATTGTTACGGGGTATTGAAGCATTTATGTGCCATTAAATCAAATTGCAACTTGTTCAAGCTTCACTTGAGTTTGAGGTGGAGCATAATATTAGAATTTGGGTAAATTGCACTCACATCCACTTAAGTTTGGATTAAAGACATTCATCAACAAGTTGTGTAGTGTTTGGACAATAACACTCCAAAGTTTGCTGGATTGAATAATCACTCTGTACTCAACCACCTATAAAGCAATATGAAATGTTTGTCTCTCAATAAAAATATTATATTTTGGACCAAAATATCAACTCAATGAAATGACCAAAGTACCAAGGAAAAAAAGAAAATGACCAAAGTACCATTCAGTCAATATACCTTTCATCTCTTTCATTACCCCCACCCCCCCCCCCCCGGGAAATAGGGAGTCAACTATAAAGTTTTAAAATCACAGCCCCGCACCTGCTTTTTAAAGCCTCTCTCAGGTGACCCGCACATGTTGTATCACCATCATTATTTTGATCATGACTTAAAAAATTTAAGTGAGTTCATATCTTAGGTCCCATTCACGTTGTAGCTAGAATGAAGGGTTGAGATTTCTCCAAGTTATTACATAGATAATTATAATGTGTTGTATAGAAATCAAGATTTTTCTATTAACCATGAATTCGCTAAACTTCAAATTAATATATATATATATATATGGCACTTCAAATTAAAAATTAAAAATTAATATATTGCATGTCTTATAGAATTAATTTATTTTGTTAGAAAACATGGACCTCACAAAGTAAATTAAGATATTTCAAAATTGTGGTTTCTGTTTTGCTTGCTATAGTGCAAAATAAAACTTGTCACGTGGATGAATTTGTTATGATCAAGTATACATTAGCGGTATTTTCTACTCTTGACTCATATATATATATATATATATATATATATATATATATATGTGTGTGTGTGTGTGTGTATATATATATGTATATATATGTGTGTGTGTGTGAGAATGTATATGTGTTGAGGGTATTTTGGGATTTTTATAAATAATTTGGTCAAAATTGAAGATAAGGGCAATTTGTTCAAAAAAATTGATAATATAAGAATTTGCATGCACTCAATTTTTAGTATGGGTGTTGTATAGCATGGAATTTCTTGTTTAATCTTTATTTATTTTGCTAGAAAACATGGATCTCACAAGTAAAATAAGATATTTCGAAATTGTTATATCTGATTTGCTAGCTATAGTGCAAAATAAAACTTGTAACGTGGATCAATTTGTGATTATCAATATAATTTAGTCACAGAGCAAATCTCCCATACTCGTGACCTTCAAGATATTTGAGCAGCCAAAACCAATAATAAAACGCTAAGACATATGCATGGGTTGAACACAGCAAAGTTGCATTTGCAGAAGAGAATTCATATGAAGAAAAAGCACACTGCTGCTCGATACAAATTCCAATGAAAAGATAGCATCAAAGAGCGGTACTACCGGATGAACTTTATCTTCAATACATATATATATTTTCATTGACAACTTTATCTTCAATATTATTACTAAAGAATTTGGTTGATCGATAAAATGCTTCACTCAAATACCAATATTTAATAAAGAAGACTAGTGATTCGCGGTCCTAGAGACATCATGCTATATGTGGAGAGGGGGAGAGAGGGTTATGGGGGAAGAGATGAAAGGTATATTGACTGAAGGGTAGTTTGGTCATTTCCTCAATAAAAATATTAGAGGTGGTTGGAGTGTGATTGTTCAATTTGGCAAATTTAGAGAGTGTCATTATCCAAACAGTGCACAAGATGAATTATTTTTAATCCAAACTTGAAGGGGGTACGAGTGTAATTTATTCTTAAAATTTTAACAAGATAAACAGTAAATTCGTTAACCCAACTGAGCCAACTCACCTCTAAAACACTAAAACTGACATAAAAATGTAGCTTGAAATCAACTTGATTGATAATGAACCAAAAAAGCAACCTTATTGAGCAACTAGTTACTTGCAACCTGAATGATTTTAGGGTTAATTGCACATAGAATCAATTTGAAGACACACGATGTCATATGAATACTGAAAATTTAAAAAATAGTACATTTTGGGGGAAAAAAATTTAAAGTCTTGTTTTTTTCACAAATAGTGACCATATTTTGTCGACTAAAGAAAGAACAGAGACGTGATTTAAAACATATAAAGACGTCTACTTTCTTCATTGTATTAACCGCCATTGACGTTAAGGGAGTTGTGTACAAAAAAATAATAATAATAAAATAAAATTGTTGATCAGACTCACCAGTCAAAAACTTAGTGCTGTGGAACAAAGCCAACAAATCAGTAGTTCAACTATTGTGTAATAAACCCATATAATAAAGGCAATCCACTGGAATTTTTTCTTATTTACATTATTAGTTATATTTTTTTTGTCAAAATAGTTAAAATTTTAAAAATGTCCCCTCTTAATTGATAAAAATATCACACTTCACTGATTTTTTGAATTCAAAAGATAATCATTTTTTTTTTCACCCTTTACCACCAGTTGCATTCATTATTCTCTCTCACATATTTTGATATTCTCACTCAATTTTTAAAAATATCTACTATATATATTCTTGCATTTTAGATCCAAAAAAAAGTAAAGTAAATCGGTTTTCTTATTTCTTCCCGTCCCACATCCGTGATAATCTAGAAAGCACAAACATTGTTACAAGATCAAAGAATTTGAGTTAGGCAAGTCACAAAAAAATTAAATTCTTATATTTATTATTTTATTTAAAAGAATTATCTTCAATTTTCTTTATACTTCAACAACACCCCTCTCAAAAATATTCCTCAATCCATCACTATAATAATAATGCACGAGACAGCCTCATGCAGCCACCCGTTTACAGGAAGTAGGACAAATTTAGCAATAACAACTTCCATATAGAAAACAAACAAACAAACAGCGAAACATGAAGAAACCTCCCAACCTGAAGCACCCTCCCCACCTGAAGAATCCCACCCACAGGCAAGCTTCACCATCTGTGTCAAACCCCATTCCTAATCATCTAAAACCACCATTCAAACCACCATATCACCATCACCATGATAACTCTCTCCACCCACATTGTTCTCCACAAAAAACTATAGTGCAGAAAACCATCACACACAATGTGCTCTCTACTGAAGTTTACCCTCCCCCCATCCCAACTTTTCATAATAGGATAGCCCATTCTCATTTCCCTACACCCACCACAAAACCAATCAGGATTCTATTCTCCACCTCTAACTTCACCCCCCCCCCCCCCCCCCCCCGGCCCAAAAAAAAAAAAAAACCTTCAATCACAACAGGGAAAAATCGCTTCAACAACAAAGCATGTTACATTCTCAAACAATATTCCACTACAACACAATCCCCCTCATACCAAGCTAGCTTCAAACCAGCAAAAAACCAAAATCACAAACAAATCTCCCATCATTTCAAGAAAGGCAAAACCATCCTCACACAACTCAAAGCACACTAATCCAGCATCAACCCATTCCTACCCTCCAAAGAACTTTAACCCTCTTCTATATAACTCCCCAAGTCATCAAATTGAAAGGTTGCAGGAACAACTTGAATGGTCTGAAAAGAACTTAAGGAGATCAATGGACATGCACTACGAAAAGAACAAGATCATCTTAAAACTCAGAGCTGAAGTTACCAAGCTTCTATCAGAGAAAGGTCAGTTACATCAACCAACTACAGCTCCAGAGGCTGATCAACTAGTACCCCACATCACTACTACCACCAGGTCTGTCACACCAGCTCCTGAAGCTCATCCACAGCCACCAAATCCCACCCATCACTACCACCACCACCACCAGGTCTACCACAGCAACAGAGGCTCATCCACCATTGGAAGTCCCAAGTTCGAATTCAAATTTGAATTTCAAATCTTTAGGAATGGTCAATTCACCCCTGCAGGCACCTATACTGACTATTTCTCAAAAATGGAAATAACAAAACTAACTTTCCACATGGTCCCAGCTCACCTCCTATTATTCACCCTGAAATTGTTGACCAACCAGATAAAGTCCCATCACATGTATTGCCATCAAGTTCTGCAGACGCTTTACCAGTTATGTCCAATTCCAATCACCACACATCTCCACACCCACCATTACAGCCTAACCACCACCAGCAGACAAGGACTTGGTCCAATGTAGTCTAACAAGGAACAAATAAAATGAAATTTGAATACATTACTCCCCTCACTGACTGCTCAAATATTATTCACCTACCAAAGGAGGTCGTAGATGAAGGTCAGGATTTCTGGTCCTCCTACCATTTGGTGGGATTCTCCACACACAAAAAACTCCCTTTCAAAATTGTCCAAAATGCTGCAACAAAACTGTGGACACCATTTGGGTTAACTGACACCATTCTTGGGGAGAATGGCAAATACTTCT